GCAATGCTTGCGAGAAAAAAGAAAACGGCACCACAAATGCGCGAGGAGTGTGAGAACACATGGGAAGCGCATTAGAAACGCTTGAAGGCGTAAACGTGCGAACACATCATTACTTCATGTAGTTTTGGTTTTGTATTTAGATTATTTGGGATTCTGTGTGAAAACACGAAATGCCAGAAAAAACAGCGGCGCCACAGATGCGCCAGAATTGTGGAAACATGTGGGAAACGCATTAGAACCGCTTCAAGGCGTAAGCGTGCGCACAAATTATTATTGCATGTATTTATGGATGTTTTATAAGATTCCCTTGGGTTCGATGTGAAAACATTAAAAATCAATGAACACGATGTGTTTTTCAATATTATTGTTCAAAAGTCAATGAAAACGATTTGTTTTCCAATCTTTTTAATCGAAAATCAATAAAAACGCTGTGTTTTCCAATAATTCCAATTATTTCCAATATTTTCTAATAAAAACGCTGTGTTTTCCAATTTTCCAATATTTTTCAAGGTTTCGGGTACGGCAACGCTGTGTTTTCCAGATTTTTATTTACAAATCAATAAAAACAATGCGTTTTCCAATTATTTCAATGAAAAATCAATAAACACGCTGTGTTTTCCAATCTTCTTAATCGAACATCAATAAAAACGCTGTGTTTTCCAATTTTTTATTAAAAACTAAATAAAAACGCTGCGTTTTCCAATTATTTTAATGAAAAATCAATAAAAACGCTGTGTTTTCTATTTTTTTCATTAAAAACTAAATAAAAACGCTTTGTTTTCCAATTATTTTAATATATATATATATATATATATATATATAAAAAAAAAAAAAAAAAAAAAAAAAAAAAAAAAAAAAAAAAAAAAAAAAAAAAAAAAAAAAAAAAAAAACAAAAACGCTGTGTTTTCTAATATTTTTCAACAAAAATCAATAGAAACGCTGTGTTTTCCAATTATTTTAATGAAAAATCAATAAAAACGCTGTGTTTTCCAATAATTCCAATTATTTCCAATATTTTCCAATAAAAACGCTGTGTTTTCCAATTTTCCAATATTTTTCAAGGTTTCGGGTACGGCAACGGGGCGACGAGCGATCCTTGCTGGAAAACCTTGAAAAATATTGGAAAATTAGAAAACATAAGGTTTTTATTAGAAAATATTGTAAATAATTGGAATTATTGGAAAACACAATGTTTTCATTGATGCTTGCTCAAAAAGATGGTAAAACACAGCGTTTTTTTTTTTTTTTTTATTGATTTGTCATTACAAGAATTGGAAAACACAGCGTTTTTATTGATGTTTTTTTAAAAAATTAGAAAACATATCGTTTTTATTGATTTTTGTTGAAAAGGATTGGAAAACACAGCGTTTTTATTGATTGTTCATTAAAATAATTGTAAAACACAGCGTTTTTATTGATTTTTGCTGAAAAAGATTAGAAAACAAAGCGTTTTTATTGATTTTTCATTAAAATAATTGGAAAACACAGCGTTGTTATATTTAGTGTTTAATGAAAAATTTGGAAAACACAGCGTTTTTATTGATTTTTCATTAAAATAATTGGAAAACATATCGTTTTTATTGAGTTTTTAATAAAAAAAAAAAAAAAAAATTAGAAACACAGCGTTTTTATTGATGTTCGATTAAGAAGATTGGAAAACACAGCGTGTTTATTGATTTTTCATTGAAATAATTGGAAAACGCAGCGTTTTTATTGATTTTTAAATAAAAATCTGGAAAACACAGCGTTGCCGTACCCGAAACCTTGAAAAACATTGGAAAATTTGAAAACACAGCGCTTTTATTAGAAAATATTGGAAATAATTGGAACTATTGGAAAACACAGCATTTTATTGATTTCAATAGAATCTTCTGGATGCGGAATCCAATCCATTTCTATTGAATTCCAATTGGAATCTAATTAGAATCCAAATAGAAATCCTCTGGACCTGGGACCCGTCTTCTTTCGATTGAAATCCCATTGAAATCTCATTGGATTTCAATAGAATCTTCTGGATGCGGAATCCATCCCATTTCTATTAAAATCCAACTGGAATCTAATTAGAATCCAAATAGAAATCCTCTGGATCTGGGCTCCGCTCTCCTTTCATTGAAATCCAATCAAAAGCAAACGAAAAACTAATACAGACAGAAAGAACGAGAGGGAGAGAGAGAGAGAGAGAGAGAGAAAGAGAGAGAGAGAGGGAGACAGCAGAGGGAAATGAGAAACCAGGAAACACACACAAGCCACCTACACAAAGATACCACCCTTACGGGGGGGGGGGGGGGGGCAAGGCGGCCGCGCAGCGGCCCTGGCCCACTCTGAACGGGCCAGCGCGATGCGCGAGGGGACAAGGCCGCCGCGAGGGCGGCGGACCTGCTCCTTTCCAGATGGAGCACCCGAGCGCGCGAACGGGCAAGGCCGCCGCCCGCGCGAAAGCCCCGGCCGTTCCTGAGTTAGAAAACACAGCGCGCGTCAGAAAGCAGCACGGCCGCGCGCGCGGTGGCTCTTGCCAGTTCTGCGCGTCAGTGCAGTGCGCGAAGGGGCGGGCCCGCTGCTCGCGTGGCGGGCCTGCCCCGTGTCGCGTTGAAAAAAACATCGCGGGCGAGCTGGGCGCGGCGGTCGCGCGCGCGGCGGTTTTGTTCGACGCGCGCGGAGAAAACGCCACGCGCGGGAAGGGGGCAGAGCCGCCGCGCGCGCGGCGCCCGCGGCCAATCCTGAATGCGCAGCTACGTCGGCAAGGGCGCAGGTCTGCCGCGCGCGCGTCGGCCCTGGCCCAATCTGTTTGAAAACTAAGCCACGCGCGCGGGCCCGCGGCCACCGCGCGCGCGGCCACCCTGGCCCACTCGGCTCAAGGGAACGCAACGCCCGAGGCCACGGGCCCGCTCCACGTGGGCACGGGGGCGTTGTGTCCGAGCGGGCACGGCGGCAGCGCGCGGCGGCCCTGGCGCGCCCTGCACAGGGCGGCGCGCCCCGCGGGGGTGGGGGGGGCAGGGCAGCCGCGCGCGTGGCGGCCTCGGCCGACTCTGCAACGCCGCGCGCGGGGGGGGGGGCAGCGGGGGCCGCCGCGCGCGCGCGGCGGCCTTGGCCTGGCCCAGCTGGAGAGCCGCGGGGCGCGGGGCAGGGCCACCGCGCGCAGCGCCGCCCTGGCCCAGGGCTCGCCTGGATAAAGAATCGCGCACGGGGGCAAGGCCGCCGCTCGCGCGGTGACCTTGGCCCATTCGGCATCGAATTCCAGAGTGCGCGACGGGGGCGAGGCGGGCGCCCCCGCGGCGGCCCTGGCACCGCTGGGAACGGCAGGGCGGCGCGCGAGAGGGGGCAGCGCCGCGCCTCGCACGGCCCCGCCCCAATCTACTGGAAAGGCGCCGCGCGCGAGGCGCAGAACGGGCGCGCGCAAGGCCGATCAGGCACATCCTGCGTCTGAAGACGCTGAGCAGGAGTAGTCGGGGCGGTCGCGCTGAAGACGGCACTGGCCCTGCCTGCGCGGGGAAAAGCCCAATGCGCGAGGGGCGCAGCTGCCGCGCGCGCGGCGGCCCTGGCCCATGGCGCGCGCGCGTGTGCAAGCATATTTCTCCGCATGGGTATAACAAGTACACTTGTTTGTCCACGTTTACACAACACTACATACAAACATACGCATATGCATGCATACACGCATACATGCATGCATACAAACATATGTGTATAAAGATATGTGTGCGCAAACATGCGTATAACGGTATGTCTGGTTTGTAGTGTTGCGCGTAGGTGCTCATATATATATATATATATGTATATATGTTTATATATATACATATATTGTATATGCGAAACAGAAGTCCCGCGAGAGCAGGGCCGCCCCGCGCACGGCGGCGGTGGCCTGTTCACCGCGAGGAGAATAATGCGCGAGGGCATGGCCGCCGCGCGCGCGGCGGCCCAGTCCAAACCTCGCACGGAACGGCACAGGGCGCGAGAGGGCAGGGCAGACGCGCACCTGCCCGGGCAGGATGGGCGAACGCAGCGCGCGAGGGGGCAAGGCCGCCGCGTTCGCGCGCCAGCTAGGGCGCCGTCGGGTCAGAACTACGCCCCTCCCCTATGGCACGCTGTGGCTGGAGGGGCGTCCCGCCGCGGTGTTCCGATGGTGCCCCGTGGTGTCGGGATCCTTTCCCGAGGTGTCTCGCGGTTGCACGCGGCGTCCGCGTCGCAGTGCGCAGTGGTGCCCCGTGGTGCCCAGTAAGTGTAAGTGTAAATTGTTAGCGATCTCCCAACTGGCGCCCCGCTGCTCACCGAAGTCCTGACTGTTTGGGATGCGCGACCAGAGCGCAGTGCGCGAACCCTGCAGGGCCCCAGGATGCGCTTACAGACGCTGGCGCGCGAGCCCCGTAGGGCCCACGGGCGCGCCCACTTGAGTCACTCGACTCGAGGTCCCGAACAGCGGGTGTCAGCGTCTTTGCAAGTTGGCAAGCGCGGAAAGTTAGCCTGCAAGCGAGCAGGTCGGCAATATGTGTAATTATGTCCACATCATGCGCAAGCGTTGCGATGTCCACGCGTGTAGTGGCTTGACTGCAGTTGCAAAATGCGCGCTCGCATCACTGAGAGCCAGCTGGAAACATCTCAAGTCACCCGAGGCTTAGGCCAAGCAAGGTGCTGTGCCTTGAGCGTCTCTTTCGCTCTCGCCTTCTCAGCAGGGGGCAGATGGCCCGGCACGTCCTGGCCTGGGGCAAGTCAGAGCATGATCGCTCGCTCGCCGACCTTCTGCGACACAGCGCGCCTGCACCCATTGAGAGAGGCCCCCCCCTGCGACAGCTGACCGACGCAGACCCCGCGGCGGAAGACGCAGCCGACCTCCAAAGCTGGCATCCAACGCAAGCTCGCAAGAACGACCTCGTCGATCTCAACGGCGACCGCCCCCTCGCCTTCTGCGCGCGGCGACTGGGCCGGCGGCGGCGGGGCATCAGGGGCAGGGCGGCCGCTGCTGGATAAAGCTCCACCAGCCGATGGCGCGGGCCCTCGGACGCCACCTTCATCCTCATCCACCGCGCCAGCGGCCTGCACGATGGCGCCGTCCTCCTCGGCGCCAACATCGGCTGGCCAAGCAATGTCGTCGGGGCCCAGCTCCCGCGCGTGCAGCGCCTCCTCCGATTGGCCGAAGTCATCGTCAACGTCGCCTCCATCTTCGACGGCGACGCGGTCGGCCTCGACGTTTGGTCATGGCTCGTCAGCGGGGGGGGAGCGGGCCTTCCGCTCCCAGCAATGGCGTCGCGGTAGAAACGCGACGGCCTCCCCGACGAGCTCCCTGCCCACGGCCACCGCCGCCCCCTCGGGCTCGACCGCCCCCTTGCAGGGTGAGGGACATCTACTACCAACCAACCTGTGTGGGGTTCTCGTTTCGGAGAGAGCACTATGGTCGAGTTTTCCTCTTCCCCCCGTTCCCCTCCCACTCTAATGCCCCTACTTCCTGCATCCTTTCTCCTCTGTTTCTCCTATTCTCCTATGTTTTCTCTTCCTCCCTCCTTTCTCCTCTGTTTTCTCTTCGCCCCCCCTCTTCTCTGTCTCTTCTCTCTTTTTCCCATGTTTTCTCTTCGTCCCCCCAGGGGCGCGCGAAGCGCGCAAGTGTCACCACTTTCGCAGGCCCCTGGGAGTTTCTGCGGGGAGGAATGGCACGCGGACACAGCTGGGACCTCGCGGCGCCCTGCGCGGATGCGAAGTGCGCAACTGTCGCCACGTTCGCGGGCCCCTGGGGGGCCCAGCGGAGTGGAGTGGCCCTGCGCGCAGCCCGCCGCGGCGGCCGCCCGACGCCGCGCGCTCCGGGCCCGCGCGGCAGTCGCACCCCGCCCCAGATGTCCGCCAAGGCGGGCGCTCCACTCTGCAGTCGCCCCCCGCGGCATACATCTCGCCGTCAAGTTCATAGCCGAGGCGGGCACCTCGCTCTGCGCGACCCCCCCCACGACGGGCGACCCATTGGGCGCGCGAGCCGAAGGGCGCGCACCCCGCGCCGCAAAGCTTCTCGAAGCAGGCGCACCACCCTGCGAGGCCCTTTCCAGACGCGCCACCCGCCGCGGGCACACCCCACCAGGATTGCACCCCGCGCCCCACCCCCCCCCGCAGCTTGCGCGCGCAGACTGCAATGACCCACCAGAGGTGGTCACCTAATGTGCAGCCCCCCACCCACTGTGGGCACCCCACTGTACTATGACCCCTGGCACCTCGGGCATCCTCCCGGCTCGGATGGACCTGGGGTGATGCGCGGTCTGCCGACCCCCCCCGCACCTCGGCCATCCTCCCGGCCGACGATTCGGCTAATGTTGCGAGCGAGCGACCTGGGGTAATGCGCCGTCTGCCGACCCCCCCCGCACCTCGGCCATCCTCCCGGCTCGGATGGACCTGGGGTAATGCGCGGTCTGCCGACCCCCCCCCCGCACCTCGGCCATCCCCCCGGCTCGGATGGACCTGGGGTAATGCGCGGTCTGCCGACCCCCCCCCCGCACCTCGGCCATCCTCCCGGATCCGACCTGGGGTAATGCGCGGTCTGCCGACCCCCCCCCCGCACCTCGACCATCCTCCCGGCTCGGACGGAGCTGGGGCAGTACGCGGTCTGCCGAGCACCCCAGAACCTCGGCCATTCTGCCAGCTCGGACTACGAGGGCGCGCATCTTGCGCCCCCCCCCGCCCCCCGCCCCCCCCTGCCCCCACGCGTCGCCCGCCGCGGCCGCGGCGCATGCGGGCCCTAGTTCGAAAGCGCGCGCTGGCGGCCCCAAGAGAGACCAGCGCAAGAGCGCGCCTTCTCGGCGATGGACATTGACACTGGCGGGCGCAGAGCAGCCCCCCCCCCCCCCCCCCCCCCCCCCCCCGCGCCCCCCAACGCGCCGCGCGCATTGCTATCCCGAGCAGGTCTGCCCCGAACGCAAGTGCGGGCGGGGGGCGGGGCGCCCACTAGGCCCGCTCGGGGCATCAGGTTGATCGCAGGGGTGCGGCTTCGCGCGGCCGCGCGCGCGCGCGCCCAACAGCGCCCTGCGCGAATGCGCGCCTTCGAGCTGCAATCCGCAAACATGGCTCGGCTGGCGCCGAGGCGCGGGCCCCCGCTGATTCCGGGCCCAAAGAACTAGCTCGCGCCCCGCGCGCGCAACGCGCTGCGCAGCTCCCACGCGGGCGACTCAGAACAGAATGCCGAATGGCCATGTTCAGTTCGAAAACCAACGAACGATGCCATAAGCGCCCAAAATGCTGCACTGCGACGCACGCGCGACTTCCCCCTTTCTGCCGGCTTGCGCTCGCAACGTTAGAACAAACAGTGCCGAATGGCCATCCTGAGCTCGAAAAAAATGAACCGTGAAGTCCATGTGTGTCACGCGTATTCGCATGGTCCCAACGTAGCTGGACGCAGCGCGATGCAACGCGCAGATCCCAGTGCCCTCGCGCGCGCGCAGCGCAAGAACCGATGCAGCATGACCACCCTGCGCTCGATGATAAATGGCGTTCGCCAAATGTTTGGCTCGCACTCCGACGGGGCCTCCGCGCGGAATGATGCAACGCGACCGAATGCGCGTTCTCGGCGCTCGCGCGCGCGCGTGCCAGCGCTTATGCAGAATCGCCATCTTAATCTCGCAAACCAAACGGTGACAACCAAATGTGTCACTCATATGTTTGAAGCCTCTTCACGGGAAATTCCACTGCGACACGCTGTACTTTTCAGGGTTCCTCGTGCGCGCGCGCACGCGCGCGCGCGTACGCGTGCGCTCGCGCGCGCGCAATCAAATGCGCATACTGAGTAGCCACCTTAATATCGAAAACTCAATGGTGAAAACAAATTGTTTCACCCATATTCTGGAAGCCTCAACGCAGAAACAGACAATGTGGCACACTGTACGTTTCAGGGTTGCTCGTGCGCGCGCGCACGCGCACGCGCGCGCGCAATCAAATGCGCATACAGAGTAGTCATCTTAATCTTCAAAACTCAACGGTGAAAACCAATTGTTTCACTCATATTCTGGAGGCCTCAACGCAGAAGAATACGATGTGGCACACTGTGCTTGTCAGGGTTGCTCGTGCGCGCGCGTACGCGCGCGCTCGCGCGCGCAATCAAATGCGCATACAGAGTAACCATCTTAAGCTCGAAAACTCAATGGTGACAACCCATTGTTCCACTCATATTCTGGAAGCCCCAACGCAGAAAAATAAAATGTGGCACACTGTGCGTTTCAGGGTTCCTCGTGCGCGCGCGCCCAATCAAATGCGCATACAGAGTAGCCATCTTAATCTCGAAAACGCAATGGGGAAAACCAATTGTTTCACTCATACTCCGGAGGCCTCAACGCAGAAAAATACAATGTGGCACGCTGTGCTTTTCAGGGTTGCTCGTGCGCGCGCGTACGCGCACGCGCGCGCGCTCGCGCGCCCAATCAAATGCGCATACAGAGTAGCCATCTTAAGCTCGAAAACCAATTTTGAAAACAAATTGTTTCACCCATATTCTGGAAGCCCCAACGTAGAAAAATACCATGTGACACGCTGTGCTTCTCAGGGTTCCTCGTGCGCGCGCGCACGCGCACGCGCGCGCGTACGCGCGCGCTCGCGCGCTCGCAATCAAATGCGCATACAGAGCAGCCATCTCAATCTCGAATGCTCAATGGTGAAAGCCATCCGTTTCACTCATATTCTGGAGGCCTCAACGCAGAAACATGCAATGCGCCACGCTGTACTTTTCAGGGTTGCTCCTGCGCGCGCACAATCACATGCGCATACAGAGTAGCCATCTTAAGCTCGAGAACTAAATGGTGAAAGCCCACCGTTTCACTCATATGCTGGAGGCCTCTTCGCAGACAAATGCAATGTGGCACGCTGCGCTATTCAGGGTTGCTCGCGCGCGCGCGCACGCGCGCGCAATCAAACGCGCATGCAGGGTAGCCATCTGAATCTCGAAAACTCACTGGTGAAAACCAATTGTGTCACCCATATTCTTGAAGCCTCAACGCAGAAGAATACAATGTGACACGCTGTGCTTTTCAGGGTTGCTCCTGCGCGCGCACAATCACATGCGCATACAGAGTAGCCATCTTAAGCTCGAAAACTAAATGGTGAAAGCCCACCGGTTCACTCATATGCTGGAGGCCTCCTCGCAGACAAATGCAATGCGGCACGCTGCGCTATTCAGGGTTGCTCGCGCGCGCGCGCACGCGCGCGCAATCAAGCGCGCACGCAGGGTAGCCATCTGAATCTCGAGAACTCACTGGTGAAAAAAATTGTGTCACCAATATTCTTGAAGCCTCAACGCAGAAGAATACAATGTGGCACGCTGTGCTTTCCAGGGTTGCTCGCGCGCGCGCAATCACATGCGCACGCAGAGAGGCCATGTGAATCTCGAAAACTCAATGGTGAAAACAAATTGCCGCACACATTTGCTGGAGGCCCCAACGCAGAACAATACTATGCGGCGCACTGCGCTGTTCAGGGTTGCTCGTGCGCGCACACGCAATCAAATGCGCAAGCAGAGCAGCCATCTTAAGCTCGAAAACTCAATGGTGGAAACCAACTGTTTCACTCATATGATGGAAGCCTCGTCGCAGAAAAATGCATTGTAGCACGCCGTGCGTTTCAGGGTTCCTCGCGCGCGCGCGCTCGCGCGCACGGTCAAATGCGCATGCCGAGTAGCCATCTGGATCTCGCAAACTCAAAAGTGAAAACCAACAGTTTCACTCATGCGCTGGAGGCCTCAACGCAGAAACATAGAATGCGACGCGAGGTATTATTCAGGGTTGCTCGTGCGCGCGCGCACGCGCGCGCTCGCGCGCGCGCAATCAAATGCGCACACAGAGTAGCCATCTCAACCTTGAAAACTCAATGGTGGAAGCCAACCGTTTCACGTACACCCTGGAGGCCCCAACGCGAAAGAAAAAAGAAGGAGGTAATAATAATAATACTTGTTCATGGTATGTTTTATATATATATATATATATAAAAAAAAAAAAAAAAAAAAAAAAAAAAAAAAAAAAAAAAAAAATGTGGCACGGTGTGTTTTTTTCAGGGTTGCTCGAGCGCGCGCGCACGCGCACGCGCGCGCAATCAAATGCGCATACAGAGTAGCCACCTTAAGCTCGAAAACTCAATCTGAAAACCAATTGTTCCACTCATATTCTGGAGGCCTCAACGCAGAAACAGATAATGTGGCACACTGTACTTTTCAGGGTTGTTCGAGTGCG